TCCAAGTGGAAGAACATTAGGAGGAACAAATTGGAAAATATGTAATGGATGTGATGAAATTATTTATGCTGTTGGAAATGATTTAAATAATGGGTTTGTTATAGAAGGAAGTAAAATAATGAAATTTAATAGACCAATGGTATTATTAACAGATATTGGAGGATTAGGGAAATGTCAAGAAATGTTAAATAATGTTATGATGGAAATAAGAAAAATAGTATTAAGAAAAGGATGTTGTTTACTTCCTGTTGAGTGTGGAGGAAGAATAATGGAATATATGGAAATGGTTTATATTTCATGTGATGTTGATATTAATAGGGTAATTAAAGATGCATCATTTTATTGTATTTCAAGTGTAGCTGATCAAATTAAAGAAATGAATAAAACTATAATGGAATGGGTTCGTGATGGGACTGATATTACTAATTTTAAAAACATATCATTTCAAGATAATTTAGAGAAATTAAAACGAGACCTTGATGCAAGAAAACCATGTGTTGTTTTTGCTACATTAGCTTCCTTCTCTGTTGGAAGTATTTCAAGAGATGTTTTATTAAAAATTTGTAGAGATAAAAGAAATGGAATTATTTTCCTTGAACCACCTCAAAAAGGAACTGTTGCAAGTGAAATTGAAGAATTTGCTAGTCCAATGAATCAAAAAACAAGTGTTAAAGTTGATGTATGGCATACAGAAGATTATACTGAAGAAGAATTAAAAGAAATTGAAGCATTAAAAGAACAAAAAGCAAAAGAAGAAAATGAAAATAAAGAACATCAAATTGAAGAAGAAAAAGTTCAAGAAAAAGAAATAGAAGAAATAGAAGAAATTGAAGAAGAAAGTGAAGAAGATAAAAAAACTATGTGGCAAATTAAAACAGATTTATATGAAGATGATTTAGAAGATGTAGGTGGATTATTTCCATTTTTTCATAATAAAGTTGAGACAACAGTTTATGGAGATATTTCAACATTTAAAATTGAAATGAATGTTGAAGAACCATTATTAGGAAATAAAGATGTAGATGAAGTTAATGAAATAGAAGATTATCCTCGTAAATATGTTAAAGAAGAAGAAGAATTAATTATTAGTTGTACTGTAGCATCATATGATGTTAGTGCTGAAATGGAAACAACTAAAATTCGATCAATTATTGCAAGATTAATTCCTAGGAATTTAGTTTTTGTTTCAGCATTAGAACCAAATGGAATAGAATGGTTTAAACAAAATTTACCTCATAGTAATATTTATGGATTTAATAATACTGAAATAATGACTACTATATGTCCTGTAACTCCTTCAGAAACATTTACAATTGATGATAGCTTATTAACTGTCATGAAATTAAATCATTTTAAAGAATTTAATTTAGGTCCAATTGATGCAAAAGTAGAAGACGGAACATTACTTCCTATCACTCGACAACAAAGAAAACGTCATGAATCAGTTTATATTGGTGAATTACCAATTAAAGTTTTAACTAAAGCAATTGAAACAGAAAATATTGATGTTAAAATTGTTAATGGAACCATTGTATGTGCAAATGGAACAATTACAGTTTCAAAAGAACCTTCAGATGTACCTAAATTTATTGTAAGAGGAAGAATGAATAAAGCTTTTTTTAAAGTTAGAAAGATAGTTGCTGAACAATTTTGCATTTTGTAATTGAAAGGAATAAATTACATATTTTATGTTTTAATTAATAAAATAAATTGTAATTTTTTTATTATTTCTTTTTTTTTTAAAAAAGAAAAATATCTAAAATGTTATTTATTTTATTCCTTCAAAATGAATTGTACTAAAATTCTTTTAGTTGGTAAAATTGGTGCTGGTAAAACAAGTTGGTGTGAAAGAATTTGTGTTTGATACTTTTTTTTCTTTTTCTTTTTTAATTAAAAAAAAACGTTTTAGAAGAAATTTATGTTTAAGAAAAATAAATTTAATAGTAAAATATCAAGAACCATTGGTTTAAATGAATATCAAATTCATTTATTTATTGATAGAATTGAAAGAGAATTTACGATTGTTTGATTTTATTTAAAAAAAATAACAAATTCAATATTTTAATAATAATAATAATTTATTAATAGATTGACAGTACTGGATTTCAAGAACATTTTAATTGTATAGAATTTATATGTAAAACTTGTGACTTTATTATTATTTTTATTGACATTAGTGTAGAATTAAATCAATATGAAATACAAGAATTTATTGATAAAATTGAAAGAAATAAAAGAATAACACCTTTTCCATCTAAAATTATTATTGTTGGGACTAAATTAGATATTAAAAAAATTAGAATGAACAAAAGAGATGAATTAGAATATATTATTAATGCTCGTTATCCTTATATTGAAATCTCTTCAAAACTTAATCAAAACTGTTTTGATATTTTTTATTTAATTTCTTCTATTGAAAATACCCAATTACCAAAGAAACAAACTTTTTGTTCTTTGGTTTAATTCAATTATTTAAATGTTTTATTATTTTTCATTTTATTTTCAAAAAAAAAAAGAA